CTTATTTTCACTTATTTTCAGCTACTGATAACAGCTCTGGCATGAAAACACATCACTTCGTCAAACAACTTTTTGTTGAAAAACAAAAGGACAATAGCCTTTAGAACAGAATTACATTATGGTATATTTTAAAGAAAATTGCAAAAATTACCCTGTACAATAAAGCAAATACTACATACCTCATAATCACAGAATCATGGAAGGTGATGAGAAGGATTTACTTACTTTCAGTATTAGGAGATGCATGATTGAATACTAAACATCATGTTCCTGACTTTAAAGCTCCCTAACGCTTTCTAATGAGAAGTTTGTTAGACATTTGCCAACATTAAAGCTTGAAGTCAGGGACATTAGAAATTGCCCTCAAAACCATGAAATATCATTCTGAAATTAAAATGTCTGCTTTCAAACCATATTTACATTGTTATTTCCCTCTCAATCAGCTTGTTCTCCTCCTTATCCACACACAGAATTTATCAATATAGCTTTTAAGTTATAACTGGTATTACAAAATTAATATAAAAATGCTATCTCATGACGAAAAATGCTATACTAATGGTCAATGTTTCAAAAGCAGAAAATTACCAAATACAGAAGAAACTGCCCAATGTAGTGATCCAAGATGAGATAGGTCGCTAGAGCTAAAGAGAACATCCATCAAGTTTTAATGGAAGACCAGCGAAAAGGAATCAATAGAGGACCACCACTCTGTTCTTGGTAGTGAAAGGAAAATATTTGATGTGTGTAGGAAACCTCTGGATCACCACTTTCTAGTCACTGTCCATACAGAGCCTGGCTTCCAGGTTATTAACTAAAATGTGAGTGTTTCTCTGCCATGTTTAAAAGAATCATTTTTATAAGTCAATATTCTACCACATGACTCTGCTAAGAAATTGTGCTTTAAGGAAAGATTTTCTCATTAGCACACAATACGTGTTGCTTTTTATGTAGGCAACAATTTATTTAGCATACTGCATGCACAAAATTGCAGCAGCTGTGGATAACATGACGGACAATTCATCTTATTAGATGCATAACACACAAGTCTGGCCCGAACTCTAGGTAACAAAAAGTAAATAATGTTTTTGTATTTTCTGTGCACTTCAAGGAAAGAAGATGCTTGAGTACATGTACACGTAGAAAGAACTAGAGCTAGATACAGTGTTTTTTCTGTATTAAGTCATTTTCAGATTTCACTATTTCTGATGTATTAATAGAAATGCATTAACTCCCTCCTGTGTTTATTTTAATATCCTAGCTACCTTTAGTTACTAAAAACCCTATTCAAATCACATTTTAAAACATTTTAAAATTAGTTTTTCAAAATTCATTAAAATATAGTTTCTTCTTCTCTGAAACAAAAAAATAAGTCATTTAAACTCTGTTCCAATATAGCTGTTTTCCTTCTCCTACTGGCTTTACATAAATAATATTAACGTGTACAAAACCAGAAAAATTAAATGTATGTGTTTGGGTAGGATGCATCTATGTCCATATGGGACTCAGAAAAGTGGGGATAATAACACTACACTTTCTTAATGTGGTATCAGTGAAGAACATCCATTCAAATAGCATGGCTAGAGAAAGCCAGATGTGGTATTCATGTAAAAATAATTCAGAGGAGAATTCTGTTCGGACTGTGAAAATTACACTTCCCATAAATTCTTTACGCATTGTCACACCAGGATTCAGTTAAAGCCAAACAAGCATCTAATTCTTGCTTTGAATACCAATTGATTGACTGCTGTTATAAACCATTTAATGGGACTCATATTCAAAAAACAGCTGAAAGACTGTCTCATTTTAGCATTCTGAGATGTCAGTAACAAGACAAGTTCAAGAATAGAGATTTAAAGAAATGTTTTGAAAAAACACTGTCAATATCTACCAAATATACTACTAAAGAGCTTTTATTTGTAATGAGTTATTTACCAAATTTCTTAATCAGACACATATTCCAAAATATTCTGAAGTATATTTGTGAATAGTGGAGCCTCAATTCCACCCAAATGAAAAATTTTATACCATGTTAAATAATCTTGTAATTTCTATTTCTCTAAGCATTTGGATGCACATAAATACATATTTGAATGCACAAACATGTACAGAAGACATCAGATATATAGTTATATACATAGATATAAACATAACCAGGAGATATCTTTAGATAGATAGATAGATAGATAGATAGATAGATAGATAGATAGATAGATATGTATAAATATATCTCACTTTAATTTTGACTGGTCTGGATTTTGCAATAGTGTTGTCACTAATTTAAACAGACATCCTACACTTTTTTTCCCTCTGTACTGCTTTTGATTTGTTTTGTAACAGTCTACGTAAGCTAAATAAAGTTGGCCCTAAGTGCAAACAAAGACATTAACAGGAAATAATATTTAGCATTTGCAAAGTGCCTGACATGTTTAAAGTATTGTATAAGTATTTAATAGTAAGTCCTCAAACAGTCCTCAAGACCAGTGAGCACTTCCACCAGCAATGCTGCAGCACAGGGAAACAAGTTACGACACGGCAGAAACCAAGTTGCCACCAAAGCCCTACACAGAGCCCTGGAACAGCACTAGCTTTTAATACTGGTATTTATGTAAAGCTGGTCCAAACAACAGGAATCTAGAAGTAGTACTAACTGTTCATGAACACCCTTTGTCTCCAACATAGTGTTAGTTTTGATAGCATTAAGAATGAAACAATCCAGATCTGGAAAAGCAGCTGAAAAGCAGCAAATGAGGCAACAGGTATAACGAGGTATAACCTGCCTATTAACCAGGTATATTTTTTATGATGATGAAAAAAACAGTATGTGCTTAGGAAAAATGGAGTGTAATGCATTATTCACATGTATTTGTCAATTATAAGCCTTTGAAAGTTGCATCTTTCCATCAAAATTAGCTCAACTAGAAGAGGTGCCTGGATCAGAAGTTTTCCTTTTATTTTATGCTCACCATACCTTTAAAGGTTTTGCAGAATTTGGGGATGGACACGGTACCTTCACAAAGTCTCCATCTTCCTGAGATTTCTTAGTCCTTAACAATGTATCTTCATAACAAAGAAGTTTTCATCTTTTTGAGATTTCTTAGTCCTTAAGAATGTATCTTCATAACAAATAGAAGTTTTCATCTTTTTGAGATTCATTATTACTTAAGGATGAAGACAGAGCTTTCCTTTAAAACTGTCCACACGAGAAAAGATTCCAGTGAAGACGTTTCTATTCAGCTAGTTGGGATGGCAACGGTCTTGGAAGATTTCCCTGATGTTGCATGTTTTGTTCTTTCTTTCTGAGGATATGATCATTCCTTGGTCATGAATATTTTCATTACTAAGGCTAGTATGCTTTGGAGTAGGAAATGTTAGAACCACTGAACAATTTGCTTGTTGGAATGATTTCAGGTCAATTTTTTTTTTAATATATTTCTGCTTATTACCAGAAATCTGGAAAATGTTCCAAGGTATATGAAACTATTTATCATAGTCTTTAAGTAATCATTTTATTGTTGAGGCTCCTTGTAAAAGATTTTTCATATTTCTTTCCTATTATTAGAGCATCCATACAAGACCAGATGTTCTCTTTTCCTTAAGTAGGTCAAAGTTAAGACTTTGCTTTATTAAGATTTATTAAGACTGTCCACATTCTTGTTGAGATGGAGCTATTGCTCCTTTGACAACATGACAAATAGAGTTTTGCTCTATTTCTGAATTTCTATTTCTAAAGAAAAAAGACAAAGTTAAGTCTTCACGTGAACTTCTGGTATGAATTTCAGTATCCCATGTCTTCCAACACCACTACATTCAACCTTTGACATGACTGCGGCAAAAAAAAAAAAAAATCCCGAAAACATAAAAACCAAGCTGTACCAGTACAAAGAAGAAAAAATACAAACTGACCTCCAAAGACCATGACCTGTTCCCTGCTATAAACCTGTCTTTTGAGACTCGCCTCTAACATGATATATATAAAGAATCAGCCTAATTAGGACAGGTGAAAAAAGCAATTAATATAAAAATATTTGTATTTTGCTGTATTACTACTTGACCATCTTCCCATGTCATCTGATTTCTTAAAGATCTGCAGGTGCAGGAATGGTATTTTTAAAGATATTCCCAACACATCACACACTATACTCCTAGATTTAAAGGGGTGACTGCATTTAAGAAAAAATCCTCAATGTTCTGTAGTTATTCCACTTAGAGTGTTTTAACGCATGTTCTTAATACGACTAATAGCAGCCCCAAGATCCACTATCAACTACTGGGAACTAACCATCACAGAGAGATTTATTGTACAAGCCATTATCCCATAGTCTCTCAGTCCACAGACCTTCCATGTGTACCACTTGAAGTTCCAGCTATACACAACTCGTGGCAGAAATGAGAAGACAAGCCTAGAATATTAATCATAGGGATGTGAAGCTTCTGTTCAGATAAAGCAGGACACAACTGTGATTTCTAGCATTGTGATGATCTAGGCAAGGTGCCTGTACAATGTTTAAAGTCTTGATGGTATTCAACTTATTGGAACAGATGGAACAGTTATTATGAAGTTGTTATACCACTGAAATTCTCTCTGTATATGAATATAGTCCAAGTAAGGTCACATCTCTGCCAAACCAGAGACATTTCACTTAGCTTTAACCTTCTATAATTACCACATCTAATCTAACTTAGTCACACAGGCTGTCTTTAGAGTCAACAGAGAGATGAGTAGCTCTGGAGAGTGACACATCTCACTTATATTAAACACTCATTTTAGACTGAAAAATGGAACTTGATTCTGGGGACGGATAGTTGAACATAAACTTTAGCTGTCAGCAAGATGCACTGCACAGTGTTCCTGAAAAGCCAGGATTAAAGGACAGACTTTTGTCAGACTCCATAGATATTATTACAAGAATTGCCTAACATACATTGCAGAAAAAAATGGCTTTTCAGGTATAAAACTTACAGACAGAATTGATATAAGAGGAAAATGAAGATGTACTTACCAAAAACAATAGAGGACTCACAGTAGTAGTAACCATTCGGTTGCTTTTTTTTCAACATGGAGCAAAGATCTAGGCGGTGCAGGATTTCATCTCCAAAATAATGGCTTTTAAAATCTTCATATAGGCTTGAGTCAATTCTTTTCACCTTTAAATAGCAACATAAAATTCAATTAGGCATTCTGCTAGAAGACTGAATTTTCATATTTAATTCCTATAGTTTTCATTTTAACCAGAGGTATAGTTAGGATGGAAAACTACTTCAAGAGGCAAAAAGAATACTGAAACAATAATGTGCCAGATCTTCTGTTTTAGTTAAGTACTATCTGCTACAGAACTTAAACAAGGAAATACAAGTGTCATTACACCTCCTTTCTACCTCTCCCTCTTCAGTCCTGTAGGAAACAAATCAACATATACAATGCTACAACTACTTTAACTTCCAATAGTTTGCAACAGTCGTCATGGAACATGTAACTGGAAATTATTCTTGCTGTTATCACTGGGCATGCTACTACAAGGAAGAATCTCAAATGTTTGTCAAGGGCAGTTTTCTGGGTCTTTAAAATCACCAAACAGGAAAATGTGGTTGCATTTAACAAACACTAGGCTTTTTATCTCAGCAAATCTAAAAAACTTACAGTGATTTATAATATCAGTATCATTATGTAGTTTTGCATATACAAAGTGGAACATAATAAATATCCTATTGGCCTGTTTTCAGAAAACCTCAATTCAGTAGTTATTTTAAGAGTTTAGGGCTCCTCATGCCATTGTATTTTCAATAAAAATAGATGATCTCTGTAGAAAATATATTTTCTCCTTCAATCTACCTCAGAATAAAGCTGTTTGCATTTTAAAAGTTGTTACTACATGCTAAGGCATGTTAGGAGAGACTGCTGCCTCCAGAAGCTCCAGCCCAGGGCTCCCTACTGCCCAGCTGCTGGAGCCCAGCCTGGTGCTCTGGGGACCCAGTGTCTCTGATGGATGTACCTGCTGCTTTCAGGTCCTAGAGACACACAAACATGCTCAGAGGACATGGACACGGACGGCTACACAGGCTGCCACAGACAAGGCGCTGCCTTCAACAGCACCCACATACATGGCTCACATGAGACGCAAGTGTGGACAGCCCCCAGCAGAGACAGAAGGTCACTAGTGCAGGCACGCACATGACTCTTTGTGCAGGTTCACAAGCACATGCACATTTGTGCATCCCCCAAGCACTGTCACGGCCCCTCTGTCCGCCCAGCACCTCTGCCCAGATCCCAGGCCCCCTTACCCATCCCACGGGTCCCTCACTTGCTGGCTGGCCCAGCTTGAGGTTAGGTAGTGAACACCTGCACTCCTCACACACACACACAGATTGGGGAAGATACAGACATTTGCCCCCAGCAGCCAGCACCCAGCACACTGGCTCGGTCAGACAAGCGTGCCCACCAGCCCATTTTACACAGGACCAGCCCCTTTTACACCCCATTCTGTCCACTCCTCCTTTGTTCCTCCCCATCCCCTTCCCCTGCACATCCCCCATCCGTTTGCACAGTCCCACCAACCCCCCAAACACCCTGGACCCTCAGTTTTACGTCCCCAACAGCTGCAAAGTCCCAGATTACCTGAGGTTTCTTGATAGCCTATCAATGAGTGTGACTGACGAGGTTTGTTTCTTGGTTTTGTCTGTTATGTTTGACAGGTTGGTGTCTCTGTATACTTTGTTTATGGCTTCCCCCTTTCCCTTACCATCCCATTTGACCAAGTCCTCGACCAGACAATCCTACTGAAATAAACATTCCCACACTCGACATCCCCTTATCAGTCTGTGTGGCCGACCAGCTTTGGCTCTTGCTACTGCCTCCCTCATCTTATGCTGGTCAGGTTTGTGTCTCTGTATGTGTTGTTTAGAGCTTCCTCCTTTTCTTATTATCTCCTTCTGCACTGAAAAGGTCCTTCACCAGACACCCTAAAGGGGCCAGATGCTGCCTCCTTCCTCACACCCTTACACTATGTCCGTTCATCTGAGCATCACACTCACACACTTCTTGTGATGCTTCATTTACAATTACTCATATGCAAGATAGGCTCAGTGTTGGTATGTCTACTGAGCTTTTACTTAGGTACAAAATTATTGACTTCAGAAGCACTTTGCTTGAGTAAGTACCTGCACATTTGGTTCTCAAAAGTCTTAATTTAGAGACTTTTGGTCCCCTTTACTAAATTAGACTTTTGGTCCCCTAAAGTCTAATTTAGCGAAGGTCAGAAATGTCTTTCCCTTTCCTTAATCTCTGAAACGATGACATCTAGTGGTGGATGCTTTTCATTTTGGGTACACGACCTCCTTGGAAGTCTACATTTATTCCAGCCTCACTGTCATTATTTAAAATTTTATATTCTATGGCTAGATTAATCCTTAGGTTATTTTGAAATCAAATCATCATTCATTCTTTGCTTTTTGGCTGACAGTTCTTTGAAATACATTTAGACATCAATCAGTAATAAAAAAAAGACCTTTTCAGCCAGAAGAACACTTGTCAAAATGTGAAGCCTTGAGTACTCATGGAACAAAATGAGGAAAAGATCAAAATCACTACTTCATACTCCAATAAAAAAATAGCATTTACAAGAGGTTGGGATGTTGCTTGTCAAAAACAGATTGGTAAGGTGTGAATCAAATGTTGAATGCTCAGGAATTGAGTTATGCTTGTGGTGCACTACTGAAAGATATTTGGAAAAGCAGCCATGGGAAAACTATGGTATTTTTAGTAACTTGGAGCAATTTCTGGAGCGCTGTTTGTAATGAGATGTGAAAGGATGAAACAATGCAGGTGCATGGGAAGGTGACAGTTCATTTCTTAATTGAAAGGGTCTGGAGCAGTAGAGATGAAAGCGATGAGTTGTTACCACATGCTGATTATAGAGATATGCTATAATTGCGGGAGGGTGAGAATCAAGAGTACTTGAGAGGCCATTCAACATTCCAGCGTTTGGTGCTGGAAGGGGAGGAGGAAGACACCTGCCTCTTGAGGAAGCACTGTAATGAATGGATGCCTGTAAAGGGACATAGCTGTGTAACATGGGCCTGGAGAGGCATTGCATGTGGAGCTCTTGCAAGACTGGCAGGGCACCAAGGAGACAGCATTTGGTAGCCCTGTCATGTCTGTTAACTCTGTCTGCGCCTTCTCTGTATGCAGGCCGGGAAGGGGCAGGCTGCCGTCCCCAGCCTGCAGTTAAACACTCCAGCTGCATGGAGTCCCCACGGCTGCTGTCAGCAGGTGGCCAGGCAGCGTTTGCCTCTTCATGGGACCAGGGGCAGGAAGGCTGAAGTGGTGACAGGCCTTAACACGGCTGCAAAGTGAGGTGCCCAACACCCTCCTGCAAGCAGCTTCAGTTTCCATGTACCAGACCCCACAGCCAAAATGCCCAACTCCCAGCACCACATGTCCAGCTCTCTGAAGGCGAGGGCTGCATATGAAGATTCATTTACATGATGCCATGCCAGTTGCTCGAGGTAGCTCATTAAGTGAACTGCAGAAGCCGCAACGGGTGAAAGAGGTGAGCAGTGGGGAGCCGGGCAGCGGGTAGGGACGGCCATGGGTCCCGCTGGAGCACTGGCAGGCAGTAGAGGCAGGTGATGGAGATGCTACGTGGGAGTGGATGCTTGGCATCCCTTGCCGGCCGGCGGCTCAGGGGACTTCTTCCAACCGCCTCCTCTCCCTCCCCCTCAGCGCGGGGCTCCGGGGAGGCCGGGG